ATGAAATTTTTATCTTGTTAAATTTTTGGATCAATTTGAAAAATTAAAGTGACGTTCAAAGGAGGCTAAAACCTCCTTTGTATCAATATTGTCAAAATTTAACATCTAGTTCTCTTTCAGCAAATGAAAAGGAACTTCCAAACAGAAGATATTCTTATAAGGTTATCATAGTTGCCCGGAATGGTTGCCTTTGTTTCAGTTGCTCATTCAGCTATTTATAGTTTAGCAGAGACTCCAAGAGTGTGAATTATTTGAAGACTAACAGATTCAGTTTATATGTGAAAAGGACTCCTTTTAACATGTTTTTGGTAGCGTTACTAAATACCATACTAGAATCATGATCTTTTTTCTTCCAGGTTCCCTGACTTAGAGAGATTCAGACTTTTTAAAGTCTACAATGTCTATAAGGAGCTCTGGTAGCGTAGTGGTTAGGAATTGGTCTGCTAATCTCACAGTCAGCAGTTCAAAACTAGCAGCTGTTCCATGGGAGAAAGATGAGACTGTCTGCTCCCGTAAAGATTTAAAGCCTCGGAAACCCTAAGCAAGGTCGCTATGAGTTGGAACCAACTCCATGGCACATAACAACAGCAATGTTTATATTGCTGAATACAGCAGAGTATGGAATGGAAACATCGTAATTGCCAACCAAGAAAAAGTTCAGAAGTCAATCATCAGCTGGAAAATTGATACTTACAGGGACTCTCAAGGGCCAGTATTGAAATACTATCAGGAAAAAGGTTCAATAAAACAATGCTTCTTATAGTGAGATGCTCACTGAAGAGCTGAAGCCTAAACTTCAGATTAAATGCAGAGGGATGCTATCCAAGGGTGTTGTGATCTTGCATGACATGCACATCCACACACCTCTGCCCACACTGTTGACACACTGCAAAAACTTTATTTGAGGTTTTAAAGCATCCTCCTTATAGTTCTGATCTTGCTCTATTGGACTCTCACCTATTTGGTCCTCTGAAAGCAGCCCTTTGAAGACAAAGATTCACCTGATGAAGTGGAGATAGTGGTGCATTCATGGCTCACAATTGGCCTACAATATTTTTTTAATAAGGAAATACAAAAGCTGTTGGCAGATGGATAAAGTGTATTGAAAAACAAGGAGATTGTGTTGAAACATGATGTATTTTTTTAAAAAGTTGATTCAAGTAAATTCTACAGCCAGAGTGCAGATAATTTTTGACTCATTCTCGTGTGTGTGTGTGTGTGTGTGTGTGTGTGTGTGTGTGTGTATCTCCATCACTCGTTTGTCAGTTTGTCGTGCTGTGATTCTGGAAGCTGTGTCACTGGTACTTTAAATACCAACAGAGTACACCAGTGGTGGATAGATTTCAGCTGAACATTTAGACTAAGACAGACTAGGAAGAAGACTTTTGACTATAGTTGTTATTGTTTATCCTGTTAAGTCGTATAGTTCATACAGTAAATTTATGAACTCATCCATATTGTTCACCTGACTGAGTCATTAAGTTGGTTGAAAACTACCATATACCATTTCTCATTTTACAATCCAGTGTTTGGAATAATAAATACAAACACTGGCTTCGCTTACCGTATTTGGTTCCATATTAGAATGTACTTTTAATTGTTGTGTGAGAAAGAGCCATTTTTAGATTCTTCCACAGATCCTTTTCATTATATGTAAAGCCACCAATTTTGTATAACTTGTAATTACTATGCAAGTGATTATGGAATTACTATGAAGTACTTCAAGAGAAAAGAGACAGTTTAACAACTGTTCTCAGTCCAAGAGCGTCACCAAAGAAGCTCCTCATCTATTACTCTTAACTCTGTGGTGTGTATTAATTATACAAGATAATCATAGTGTGGGTTTTAAGAAGTTGTATTTTTTGAGGATTAGTAACTATATACTCAAATCTGAGAGACTGTATCTCAGGACATCTGATCAAAAGAAGGTCATGAATTATACTGCCTGTTCCCCCCTTCATTCTCCTTTCTCCATGGTGTCCTGAAAAGAAAACAGTCATACAAATATCCAGTTTTTTTGTGTGTGTGGTTTTTTTTTCCTTTTTGCCCTACTAAGCCAATAAGCACTGGACTGCTAACCATAAGGTCAGCAGTTTAAACCCACCAGTTGCTTTTCAAACCCCTATACAGGGTCACTAAGAGTTGGAACCAATTTGACAGTACCCAAGAACAGCAGTTTCAACGTTCTGCTGTGCATAAGGTCGCTATGGGTCGGTACCGACTCGATGGCACTTGACAACAAGAACAGGAACAGCAAGCCAATCTCGTTATCAAATAATCCTGCTTTACCATCAATAACCCTATAGAAATGGTTATGGGTAAGAATGTGACCATTGGAAAAGTAGAATTTCAACTGCTTAAAAAAACATTTTCTCTCGCTTCCTTTGCCAAAACACTTTTCTAAGCATGAAGTTGCTTTCCATTGTTAATAACTGCAAATAGATACTCTCATTGAATCCTGTGTTATCCAGCCTCATGTCAGTGTTTAAAGAAAAACATTGATGAGTCCATGTTGTTTTGAGACCACTCCTTTTTAAAGATATACCTAAAATCTTGCTATTTTGCTTTACAATGTTAAAATATATATTAGCTGATTCAGGACTTGGTCTTTTCGTTCTCCATCCTAAGAGGTTATTTTGAAATTTTACTGAGAATTTCCTTTTTAATTTGGAGCTGGGGTGCGGGGAAAGATTCTGTCTTGGACTCTCTTTATCCTTTTCCCCTTTAATACTTGTGCACATACACACCCAGCAACTTCTTTCACTTTTTGTATTTAGTTCTACTATGCATGGGGTCGCTGTGAGTCGGTTCTGACTCGATGGCACCTGACAACAGTCTGCAAATACTATCCAAACACTCCAATAATGTCATCACTTAAGATGGTTGCAGAAGGGTCAGAAGGAAAAACTTGGAACTTCTAATTCAGCTTTGAACATTTTCCAACTCTTACCAACACAGTTTTGTAACATAAGGTTAAGTGATTCCTGGAGCTTGAACTTGGACTGTGTAATGAAGGGAGAAGGATTCAGTTTATAAGCATTGAAACATGCATCTTGTTTGGGGACTTGGGGTTATAGGGGAAACTAAGAAGCAGCAGTAGCAAGGAACCTTAAAAAGGAAACCTAAAAATCTCAAGAGATTTTTGTTTTGTTGTTTAATAAAAGTTTTGTGGTTGTTGTTAAGTGCCATTGAGTCGGTTCCCACTCACAGTGACCCTGCATAGGGTTTCCAAGGAGTGAATGGTGGTGGGTTTGAACCACCAACCTTGCGGTTAGCAGTTCAGTTTTATCCTAGAGTGCCACACCAGGACTCTACTGAAAATTTTGCCATTGAATTATGAATTTCCCCCTTTTTTTTTTCAAGGGTTCCTGTTTGTGAGTGGTAGTGGTAAGAAAACAGCTCCTGGTGAAATAATTCTACAGATGGACAAAGGACAATAGTTTTCATAACTACATTTAATGTGAGAGATTTGATTATACAGGAGTTATTTGTGCTTTTTTAGAAAGTTTATTCAACTCTGTATTAATACTTTGTATTTTTATTATAAAATGTCTGAGGAAACATTTTAATGTGTATGTAGTGAAGTCATTGTTAATGTCAGTCTGTTCATCTGCATGCTCCTATGAAGTCCTTTCTAGCAAAGACAGGAGAAGAGGCAAACTTGAGAACATCTTCCTACTCTCCTGCTGATTCTTAAACCCTAGACTTGGCACCCAGGCCCAGAGCTGTAGACCAAACTCCAAGTACCAGCCTGCATCCCTGCATCCCTGCATCCCTGCTTACCACTCTCATTCCCAAAGCTAAGCCCTGAAAGAGACAGGAAGTAGTGTGGAGGGTAGCACCTGAATGGAGGAGAACAGAGTGGGGTTGGAATTTGGCAGCAGGCAGAAGGGATTTTTCCTGCTGTTCAGGTTGTGAGTGCCTCAGTCCTCTTGACCCATCAACAGAATGAAGTGTCCTCTATGTATGTACAAGTTGCAAATAGTCCTAAATTATAATGTGATCACATTCATTTTTAGCATCTTTTACTTATCTAATCCACCTTGTTAGACTTCTAAATAGGTAAATTCTTAACATTGTCATGCTTAACATATTTTGGAAATGTGAGTACCATAATGCAAGAAAAAAAGATAAGCTATATCTGTTTATAATATAAACAGTCTGGTGTGGTACTGTAGGATTAGCACTAAACTGTGAATGACAAGATCAGCAGTTCAAACCCACTAGTTGCTCTTTGGGAACCCTACACAGGGTTGCTGTAAGTCTGAACCGATTCAATAGCACTTACAACAAGAAGTAGGTATAAGCAGAAGACATTAAGCATGTTAAGGACACAGACTCTTGAGGATTTAAACTGAGTTGAAATCCCAATTCTGCCATTTTGCTAGATGAGTGACCAAGAACACCTTGCTGAAGCTCTCTAAAATAGTTTCCTCAACTGCAAAATATAGGTATGTCAGTACAAACATAAATGCTTAGAACAATGTATAAATACATGTTAGCTGTGTGTGTTTGATCTTATTATACCATGCCACCTTTCTACTGGTATGTCTATATTTAGATATCATTGTTAAGTGCTATCAAGTCAGTTCCAACACATAGTGACCCGGTGTAGGATTTCTGAGGAGTAGCTGGTAGGCTTGAACCTCCAACCTTGCGGTTAGCAGTTCAGTGCTTATCCTATAGCACCACATCAGTTATATTTGTAGTCAACAAATCATGTTTTGATTTGTTCAGTCCTGGTATGGCGCTGTGGGTTAATGTGCCAGAATGCAAAGCCGATTGAACTGCAAGGTCAGCGGTTCAAGATCACCAACTGCTCCTCAGAAACCCTGTACAGGCTCACTGTGGGTTGGAATCGACTCGACAGCACTTAACAGCAACAAATATATATATATATAGTACCAAGACTATCTTTAGTGTATAACAACTAGACAGTGGATTCCCCTCCTCAACAGTTTTTGAAAAGCAAAAATGTTTATTTTTTTTATCTTCCCCAGGCCCAGCACCGAGATACTTTCATTGAAGAACGCTATGGAAAATATAACATCAGTGATCCTTTAATGGCTCTCCAGAGAGACTTTGAAACTCTCAAGGAGAAAAACGATGGTGAGAAGCAGCCTGTCTGCACAAACCCACTGTCCATTCTTAAGGTAGTGATGAAGCAGTGCAAGAACATGCAGGAGCGCATGCTGTCCCAGCTGGCTGCTGCCGAGAGCAGGCACCGGAAGGTAGGTCTGCCCCAGGGAACTGGGACTGCAGTAAGAAACTCATGAGAGGGCCCACAAAGAAGGCCTGAGACCTTGTCTGCTGCCAGTGTTCAAAGTAGTGCAATTTGGGCTTTCACACATGTCAGATAGCCCATTAGTTTACCAGGGGTCCGGAGATGGAAAAGAAAACACAGGTAATTGCAAACACTAAATTTAGAGAGTATGCCAGACACATTATTTAAGATGGCATTCCTTCTTGGTATGTCACTCCAAAGCCTTGGCATGTTTTTCTAGCTCTTGATCATCGAGACTTTGGCAACTAACTGGGGTTTGACCAGGCTTGAACAGAGCGTTCTCTACTCACTTACTTAAGTGATAAATAGAAAGATTAACAGGTATTAGGAGAATGCCATATGAGTCAGAGTCAACTCCATGTCAGTGGATTTTGAGGTTTATACACAGGAGACAGAGAATTCATCTGACTTATAAACATTCGTATAAAGCAATAGATTATTTTCATTGTTGTTGAGTTTTGAGTTTCATTGCATTTTACTGCTCATAAAGTCACAAACAGTCCCTAAGGTTGTTTACCTTAAAGCTATTCTAACCTATTAGGAGAGTGTGTACTTATACATGTGTGAGTGTGTGTGTGTGTGTGTGTGTGTGTGTGTGTGTGTGTGTGTTTGGGTCCATATCTTACAGCTTCCAAGTTAGGAAGGCAAACCTGTTCTTTCCTCTACCTCACCTCCCTGGAATGTATTCCCCAACTTGGCATGTACTGTTCAAATTTGGCCTGTAAAAGATGCTTGGCTAGACTCTGCGAATTTTAAAACTTATCAGTTTAGATTTATACAAACAAGGGGAGATATCAGTGCAGGTAGTCATTTTAATCTGTAAAATTGGAGTTGTTGTTGTTGTTAAGTACCGTGGAGTAGGTTCCGACTCATAATGACCCTAAAAAGGGTTTCCAAGACTGTAAGTCTTTATGGGAGCAGATCACCTCATCTTTCTCCCAATTTGGTGGACCTACCTTACTTTTTTGCATATCTGCATTATAGCATCTGCTTAAAATATATCTTATAAATTTCTTAGGCTCTGGGTCTTACCCATCATCTTGTCTTTTCCTTCGCTGAGTCCAAATGAAAAACTGTGGTTCTTATCCATGGATGGGCTGCAGGTTTTCCATGAACCTCCAGAATGTCAAAAATGTATGCTTTTTTTTTTTTATGTTTAAATGTGAATTATGTGATAGTTTACATGGGAGAACATTAGCTTTACATTCATCCTATTGTATATCTCCTATTGTATATCATTTCATTGCCATGGTTACAGTTCCCTCCATGCATCATCAAACAATCAAAGTGTATACCCTGCAAGCCTGCCCCTCAGTTGTTCATCTCTGGCATCACTGTTTCTCTGGGTAGGGTCCCACATTCCACTCTTCTCCCTTGATGGTCCCAGGGACCTCCGCTCCTTGACTGCAAAGTAAACCACTCCTCTCCTTTTGCTACAAAACATCTGCCTTTACATTTCCAACCCTCACAGTCAGTCCTGATAAAAGTTATTCACCATTATACCACAAGAGTCCTATCCCCATCTCCATTCATCAGCCCCACCCAGACAGATTGGATACTACTCAGTGGAGATTCTGCCTTCCTCTGTGCCTCTGGATCTAGGCTCCCTCTTGAAAGCTTGTAAGCCAGTCACTTCTTGGGTAGCCAATGTCCAAGTTGCCCATCCCTGTCTACCCTGTGTACCAAGAGGGTGGGAATGATCCTTGCTGTAAAGATTTTTCCCTCTTTTGAGTTACTGCATCCATAAGTGTAGATCAAGTTCATTAAATTGTATCAGATTACTCTTTTTTTCCTCTTCTTTCTTCTTCTCGTTGAGTTCTGATCATCCAGCCATTGAAGCTAGGTCAAGTGAGTATTATCTGCAAGTGTGGGTGTTCTTATGCATATGCCCTCTCTTCTTATCAGCTGGACGCCTCACTCTCCACTTTAGTCCTCTGTGGCTATGTCACTGACTCTGGGTCCAGGAGTCCCCAAGTCTTGCCATACTGCTGGTTAACCAGGTCTCCACCTGGGTTCACAGGAGTCTGTTGAATGTGGTAGGACTTAGCTCACAGCTTTGTTGCTGTTTTTCCCTCACATCCCCTTATCGGTGACCAATGTGGTCACCAAAAATGTATGCATTTTTTTTTTAATGCAGAAGGCATTTTTTTTTTTCAATGTTTTATTGTGAATTATATATATAACATGCCAAGTTGGGGAATGCATGAGAGAACTCTAGTTTTACATTCATTCCATCGCATATCATTACACTGCCATGGTTCCAATCCCCTCCATGCATCATCTCCCGACCAAAGGGCATATCCTGGAAGCCATCCCCACCCCCACCCCCTAGTCTTCAGCCCACAGTTCCTCTCCTCTCTGGATCCGAAGTCCCCAGCCGCTCCATCCCTCCATGTCATCGTCCCTGTCTCCATCTCAGGCATCCCTGTTTCTCTGGGTAGGGTCCCGGCTCTCGGCTCTTCTCTGTTGGTGGTCCCAGAGACCTCCGCTCCTAGACTGGAGAAACAGTCGCTCCCTTCCTTGCCACAAAATGTCCACCTTTGCATTTCCAACACTCACAATCCACCCTGATAACCATTATTCACTACAGTATCGCATGTAACCCCATCTGTATTTCATTTCATCAGCTCCACCTAGACAAATTGGGTAGTACTCACTGGTGATTCTGCCTTCCTCCATGCCCCCTAGCTCTAGGTTCCCTCTTGAAAGCTTGTAAGCCAGTTACTTCTTGCCTTTGTAGTCCCTCCTTCCCCATTTGGATATCCAGTGTGCAAGTTGCCCATCTCTGTCCACTCTGTGTGTGGAGGGGGTGGGAATGTATCCTGCTGTAAGGATTTGTCACCTCTTTTGAGTCACTGCATTCGTATGCATAGGTCAGGTTCATCAGATTGAATCAGCTCAATC